GCTAGCAATGGGAAAATAACAAAAATAGGATGCCTTCTATATTTTTTTCTGTAGCTCGACATTATTTTGAACTTAAAAAAAATCCTTATTTGAGGCACTGTGATTTGCAGTACTTTTGATGACAGGGCTCCATGCATAACATATTTCTAAACCACACCCTCCATCAGAATATCCTCTTCCTTCTACCATTACTCAGGTGTCCCCATATTTAATTCTCCCAATAGCCTGTGAGACAGGTGTCATTATTCCTGCCACATACATAAAAGGGATGAGGTCAAGAAGGCAAAAGATGCCTGGTTTGCACAGTAGCAAGAGGCAGACCTGGAATTTGAATACACAGTTTCAGCTCTAATTCTGCTGTCCCACAGCCCACCCACCTCACATCCCTCCCTCATGTCATTATGATACTGTCTGTGCCACGAGAAGTCAGCAGCTGTATCATTTCCTGGTATACAGAGGTGTTGTGTGAATATTCATTCAGTTGGAGGCGCTGAGAAAAGAAACGTGAAAGAAATTTATGTCAAGGAGGGCCCAGGTTCTCTCAGACCTGTGACAAAGATAGAGAGCCCCGACATCTCCTTTTATTGATCATGGTACCCTCTTGTTTGGTATATACATCTGCTGACTTAAAGACTTAACTCTACATCACACAAAGCTCAGTTTTTCAAGGCAGTGTGCAAGCTTTTTAGTGTTTCCAAGGCGGTCTGGCCTTGAGCAGCCCTGTAGAGGCAGAAGCTGTTCTGCTTCCTCTTCTCTTCTTTCATTAGACAAATGCATTTTGCTTTGCCCACATCTCAGTGGATATGTGCTAGTGGTTGTGAGCTGGACTGTGACAGGACAGTGGTGTGGACATAAGCACACATGTTTTTCTGTGTGCTCCAGATTCTTGTCCAGAGCAGTGCCTATCACCCCAGAAACACATCAGCAGTACCTCATTCCACCTGCCACCTACCATGGGCAGTGGTAGGACTCTCTGAATCAGACAGAGCTTGTACTCTGCACTGCTCATGCAACATGCCAGGTATTTCTGTCCTTTATATTGCTTTCAGCTCTGTGTTCACCCCACTCAGTCCTCTCCCTTCCCCCATGACCCCGTATCCATGAATAGGCAATGCTGTTTACTATGACAATGGACTCAGTGGTAGAAGGAACTCAGTTCAGTAATTAATTGCTGGATTTGGGGAAACTAATGGCATATCCCTGCCGCTCACAGAAGGGTGAGCCTGGCTGATGCCTGTTGATAGACAAACTCCAAAAAGAGCTCAGAGCGTGTTGAGAGAGATGCAAGGATGGTGCGAGCTTACTAAGGCTGCACTCACCTGGAGGTGGGCTGGGAGGGTGGGGTGACAGGATGTCAGAAGTCTTACGTTTTCTAATCTGTGCCAGGACCTTGTGCTGCTTTTGGCATGACAATCACAGCATTCCCCAGATGAAATAGAATTCATCCTTATTTCATGTAGCTGACATTCTTACTCTTACAGCTAAGCATAAAAGTTGAAGTTTTCTCCTTTATTCTCACTAGACTTGCCTTACTCAGTGGTTATTTTGTTATGATCATTCCATTATTCTTGGAAGGTGGATATTTTATTCCCCTCTACAGTCACTTTCAGAAGACTGAAGAACTGGGAACACTTCCTAAGTCATTCATTGTAGGTGACATTGCCCGAATCCCCGAACCAAAGACATTTTAAGAAATCACTGTCTTTCATAAGCATAGATTTTTAAAAAATCATCAAAAAACATTAGCACTGTGGCACTGTAATGCTGTCCTCCCATTGTTCATTGATTTGCTTGAGTGGGCACCAGTAACGTCTCCATTGTGAGACTTGTTACTGTTTTTGGCATATCGAATACATCACCGGTAGTTTGCCAGGCTTTGCCATGCGGGCGGGATAACTCTCAGTAGCTTGCCATGCTCTCCAAGAGGGGCGGAGGAACTTAATCCAACGTCAGCCCAGGTTGGCCGTGTGCAAGGCAAACACCGTGCCCTCTGTGCTATCGCTCCAGCCCATCAAAAAACATTAGTAAATCAAAATACAGCAATGTTTAAAAAGAATTATACACCACTGAAATGGAGATTTAGCCCAAGTGTATGAGACTGTTTAACATTTGAAACTTAGTTAATGGAATGAATCATACTAAGACGCTAAAGGAAGGCATTCTTCTTGCTCTGGAGTAGTATCAGAAAGTTTCTTTCTGGAACTTTTTCCCTCTTTCCTCCCATTTCCTGAGAACTGAATAAGAGCTTGATTTTTGGTTATTTCCATTGCTTGCTTCCTACATTATTTTTGTATATAAGAAATAATTATGAAACTACTCAGATGGCAGTATCTTTGGTTTGTTTTGAAGTCTATTTTTTCCTCTAAAAACTTGGAAAGTAAAACTAAGAGTCTCCATTGAGAGAAATTATCAAATTTTTTAACCCTGGTCAGCAACTATATTTATTACTATTTTATTTGTCTGATCACTATCTGGCATATTTTGTGAAAATGAAGATCTTGATAGTTGTGTTAAATATTGAGATTTCCTTTGTCCATGGATGTCATGGAAAGGGTCTGCTCTGGTTCAAGTCCCATGCTCATCTCTGACCAGCTGAATCACCCTGGGATGGGTCTGAATTTTCTGTCCATCTCAGACTCCTCCTTCAGGAGGACATGTGAGTCCTATCTTGAAGGATTATGAACTTATGCACCACATTCAGTGTGTGGTGCATAATAACTGATAATAAACGAGAGTTCCTCTGTTATTTTCCTAGATCCATGATATTGTCTGTGTCAGTCTAATCAGTGGTTCTTAGCCAGTTTATAATAAGATGACAGCATCAGAGAGCAACAGATGCTGGCCATTTATCATACCTGACTAAATCTAAATCTATTTTTAGTTGTCTATTATAATGCTAAGACCTGCACTAAGTACTGGGCAAAGATAAAATGAGCATGTCAAACAAGTCCTTTGTAATATTTTGTGTCCTTCCTTCCCTGAAATCCTCTGACATCTGACCTTCACCTCTACCCCACCGTATACTATAATGGGATCGTGCCTCTTTTCTGTTCCTATGGCTGTCTCCTCTTACTCTCACACTCTGGTACTCTATGTACCTGTGAGGTAACTTATAGTGCTATGGTAAGATAAAGTGCACATTGCCCTGCAGGTACTAGGCACCAAAGTATAGAATCCAGGAATCAGACCCAAGATAAGACTACTTCTATTGTTTTGTCATTCCCTCTCCTTGAAACAGTCTCTTGACATCTGTGTGGCTGAATTTTATTCTGCACTATGGGCTGGAGTGATAGCACAGCAGGTAGGGTGTTTGCTTTGCATGCAGCCAACATGGCTGACCTGAGTTCGATTCCTCCACCCCTCTTGGAGAGCTCGGCAAGCTACCGAGAGTATCTCACCTGCACAGCAAAGTCTGGCAAGCTACCCATGACGTATTCAATACGCCAAACACAGTAACAAGTCTCACAATGTTACTGGGCCCACTCTAACAAATCGATGAACAACAGGAGGACAGTGATACAGTGAATTTTATTCTGCATTTTACACTCAGCTTGTCTGTTCATGGTCAAAGAGTTTTGTCTTCCTGTAGAATGGTTCTGTGAAAAAAATCTCCTCCTACAACTACTTTCATACTGATTTGTATTTCTCTCTATAGCGCTTATTTTATCCTAGCTCTGGTCTGCAGCCTACCTCTCTGCTAGGTGTCAGAGATTGACCTTGGAATGGGTTGGATGCCATTCATCATCCAGTCCTCAGCACCTGGCACTTGAGTGCCACTGCTAAATTTTATTGAATTGGCTATTTCCTTTTTTCCTGGCTCTTAGTAATGACAAATACTTTTTGAAATGGGCATTCACATGAAAAGAAAACATAGAAAAGGGGCCATGCAATAAAATCAAAGAAGTAAATAAGAATACAAGAGGCAATGTTTCTCCCACTGAGTTGGCTGTTCCTACTGAGTTGAATGAATGATAGTGCAGGTTTCCCTGTGATTGAAAAGGAGGGCATTACTTTGAAGTTTTACAGAGGCCAAACTGTATATTCCTAGACTGCCCAAATAACCCACCAAATAGTACAAAATAGCATTGAACACCTAAAATAACACTAACATATAATTAAAAAAATGAGTGGTATGAAAAATACATTTCTGTAGAAAGCAATTCCCAGGGAAGGAGCTTGGTGGTGGTGGTGGTGGTGAAGAGGGAGAGGGGGTATTCTTGCTTCTTGGGGTTCTTACTGCTTTTAGAATGATTGATGTAAACCAGTGATGAGTGCTGTTTTTTTAAAATCCATTTTGTACTTTTAAATATATGTAAAAGTGAAAAACACCTTCAAATTTCTTTTGGCTATCTGAAATTGATCCCATTTTTTACTTTCATGACAGCACAGTGGTGTCGTGCAAACTTGAAAAGTGTCCTCACTTCATTCAATGTGCACATGATATTCCTAAGTAAGCAACTACAGTGGGGCATCTGTGTAGTCCTGCTGTGTCAAAGCAGAAAAACACAGGATAATCTTTTGGAAATCAATTCATACCAAGACCCTTTCAAAATTCATGTGATTCCCTAGGTGTTTTCACACACACACACACACTCACTCTCTCTTTCTCTCTCTCTTTCTCTCTCTCTCTCTGTCTCTCTCTTTCTCTCTCTCATAGAGTTTGTGACCTTCAATTTTCCAAACCTCTCTTGAAAAAAACATTACAGGGGGAAGAAGGACAATTAAATATTGGTAGAGATTTAAGTCTGAAGACAGTAGATTGTAAAATATTTAACAAAACAGTTTACTGTGTCCAAAAGTAGAAACTAGCATCAAAATAATGGGATAATGCCTCAGGTATAGTCCTAGTGCTTCAGTAGTGACTGGCCTGGCAGCTGCTCCATACGCTTTTTCTGTTTGGTTGGAGGTGGAGTGGATGGTTGAATCAGTGAATTGGGCTATGCTGCATGGGGATTGGTTCTTTGGAAGACTGCACTGTGGGCAGTGTGAAAAGATAAATCAGAGGAATGAAGACATTCAGGAGGCTGAGTCGGGAAATTGTTTTCAAATGGTTTCTTGTGGCTTCTCAGCTTGAAGACTTTTCAGTGACTGTATGTCTTTTTCTACACAGGCGATGCTCCAGTAGACCTGATACTGAGTCTTCCTGGCTGAGAAATGCTTATCCCCAAGCACAGGAGAGCCATGGCTGGTCTTCGAGGGAATGCTGTAACCTGCCTCCTTGGGATGCTGTTGCTGTGGAGTGGGGAGAATGGCTGTCAAGCCCAGAGGGCAGGTGGGGACCATGGGCTATGATAGGGCTGAGTTTTGTCTGAGCAGTCAGTGTGACCATCCATGTGTGTCCGAGTGCGGGGTGCAGACATGTACCTATGTGTAAGCTACTACCTGCATGTGCATGTGTATAAGAGAGTATTCCTCCTATCAGAACTGTGTCAGTGGTCCTCCAACCAATGTGTGTAGTAGCCATGTATTTACAAGTGTATTTCCTGTGTGTATATATGTATATGCGTGTGAAAGAGCGAGAGTGAGTGAAAGAGAGACAGAGAGAGAGCAAGAGAGAGCAAGTGAGCAAGAAAGACATTTGGAGTTGAGCCAGAGGAGGTGGCCAGGACAGAGATAGACACAAAGGAGTGACCTACCTGAGCACAATTGTGAGTCAGTTATACAGAGATACCTTCATTCATAAAAATTTTATTAATTTTCTGAATGGCATGTACTAGGACCTGTTTTTGATAAACAAGAAATTCAATATGGATTTCTCCTTTTATGAGAGAAAATGACAAGGAACATGTTTTTAGTATGCTTTCCATGACATCTATTTCTGTAATTCCAGTTTTTATTAGATGTTAGTGTTATTTTAGACTTTATATGTTCTATCAGATGATTTGGCATATTGCTTTGAGAGGATCTGAGAGTACTTGACATATTTGTCTTATAAATAAGTGATGAGTATCATTTGATGAAAAAAATATAGGAAAACTGCAGACTCTTAGATAGCAGGTGAATGTAATGTGTTATGAACTTTTCTCTCAATAGCTCGTAGGGTCGTAGGAAAAAGAGGAAAAAAATCTGCATTAGGACTTTGTGGTAACAAGCCAGGGAAATGGATACACTTGGAGTCCAGCAAGAGTGGGTTTACCAGGACAGTGAGGAGAACATGTCAGTGGAATAGAAGGAGGAACTGGGAAAGTTTACTAGAGAAGGAAGCCACAGGGGTAGCAGGGAAAGGAGGTGAGTGCTGGCTTTCCCTCCAGTCTGAGACCCTCCCTGGGAGAGACATAAGTGGAGGACATGTAGGAAGATAAAATTTAGAGATACAATACCTTAATAATAATATTATTATAACAATATTAATTATATTACATTAATAATCAGTCAACCTGGCCGACCAGGGTTCGATTCCTCTGCCCCTCTCAGAGAGCCCGGCAAGCTGCCGAGAGTATCTTGCCCACATGGCAAAGCCTGGGAAACTACCCTTGGTGTGTTAGATATGCCAAACACATTAACAACAAGTCTCACAATGGAGACGTTACTGGGCCTGCTCGAGCAAATCGATGAACAATGAGAAGACAGTGCGACATTAATAATATTATGTTATTATATTATTACACTACACAATAATAGAATACTATATAAATATAATACCCAGAACAGGACACTTTGGGACCCCTGTAGGAGCACAGGGAGAAGTTCCTGTCAGTAAATATATGTTCTTAACATACTGCCCCGTTTTGAAGAACTTAAAAAGAGGCTCAGAGCTCCTCCAAAAAGTGAAATTTACAATCCCAAGAGCATTCATTACTTCTGAACTCACACTGTTTCTTCTTTTAACCTGCAAAGAAAACCAAAAATAACAAAACTCCCCGAAGACTGGGATATTGATATTCCACTTACAAATTTGTCTCAAGCATTTTACTTTGCTGGAGCCCTTCCAGGTCTGGCTGGCTGAAAACACAATGGTACAGGCATCTGGTTTTCATGCGAGGAATGCATTGCTTCTGGTGGATTTCTCTGTCCATCCAGATGACCCCAAGTTTAGGCTGATACACAGGATTATCACATTGAGAGGCGAAAAGGCTCAAAGACTCCTTGTCCTCACTTTGCCAAGTGGGAAACAGAGGCCCAGATGGAAGCAGTCCCCTGCTGGGGGGTCATAGTGGCAAAGCCTGTGGCAGAATTGAGGTCAGAAGTGAAGGCACTGACCCCAGCTTCAGAGCCCATCCTGATAGAACACTTTTCAATATCACATGCTATTCAGTGCCTCTATTCCCTGCACTCTTAGGGCAAATGCAGCACAGACTCCAAAGAATCCCTTGGTGAGACATCTCGAATAAATGGACTTCTGCAACCTTAGAACAAATTTGTTCAGTGATTACAGCCCACAGGCCAGATCCTGCCGGGCTCTTAGCAGCAGTTATCCTGAACAGATTGGATATTATTGTCCCACGGACAGAAGGGTGACCTTTTGTTCCAAGGAGAAAAACTCCCTCGGAATCATCTCTGAATCTATATATCTGGGCAAACACATTCCAAAAGGTCTAATCCTGTTAGAGAGCAATCCTGCTAAGGCAGGGATTTTCCTCGACTCCCAACAGGCAGGTTATAATTGGGATTTTAAATACTGGAAAGAAAGAGAGATGTTAAACATTTAGAAGTGTGTTGTCTTTGAGCATGATAGTGAAGTGTGTGCGTACATGTATGCATGTGAGTGTGGGAAGGAGGAAATGCAGTGCGGGGAATCAAACCCAGGGCCTCAGTTGAACATGTATGCGATATGACTTGAGCCACAAACCCGATACCTTATTTCTTTTTTAAAACTTAAACAAAGCCTGGCAAGCTCCCCTTGACGTATTCAATATGCCAAAAACAGTAACAACAATTCTCACAATTTGTTGTGAGACGTTATTGGTGCCTGCTCGAGAAAAAGGATGAACAACAGGAGGACAGTGCTACAGTGCTACAAACTAATTTTAAATATGAAATCAGCACTATTAAATACCAAGTCTCATTTCTGCATCTGTTTGCCAGAAGTGTTTCTTTCAGTATGTTCTCTCACACATAATCACACACAGAGACATACTAAGTTTTTCTTCCCCTTGCCCCTCACAACAATATATTGGAACAACGAATCCATGTTGGCAAATAAGAATTCTTTTTCAAGCATCCCTGTCAGAATTTTCCCACATTCCTCCACAGGAGTATGTGGTGATTGTTATTGAAGTAGATTTACTTTGGTGATTGTTCTTGGAGTTCAACCCAGACATTTTGCTTGGCAGTGCTGCCATGATTTTTCACAAATAATTTTTAGCCTCCCATAAATCTGACTTTTCCTAGGAAAATTTTAAAATTTGATATGGTAGATTAAACAGTGTTTTTCCTTCACACTTTTGTAAAAATAAAATTGAAAAACATATTTAAGATTCAGGGGCTAAAAATGAAATAGTTTTAACCAAAATAACAATATTTGAATAACTTGACTATGCTATGAATATTTTCTAGTCTTATGTCAAAAGATTTGGTGTTTTCAACTGAAGTTCACAACAGTCTTAGCAATGCTCATTTTTTGGTGTATGTGTATATATATATATATATATATATATATTTGAAGTAAATAGATTTTATTTGGAGTATTTTTTGGTACGGAGGGGGAGAGAGAGTGAGAGAGTAACGTACTCAAGAGAGAACACGGGCTTCTTTAAGGGCAGAGAGAGCCCCTACACACATCCTAGCATTAGACACGAAAGCATGAAAGTACATCTCAAGAGGGGAGATGCGGGCGACACATGTGCTCGGGCACCACATGTGCTCGGCCATGTGGGCGCAAGCAGCACATGGGCTCGGGCAGCATATGCACGACCGGTGTATGTATATATTTTTAAAAAATTATTTAGGGACCATAATTTTCAAAGTTCTAATGCATAATAAAGTTCTAATCCATAATTTACAATGTTCTAATACCATTCCTATCATCAATGTCAACTTCCCTCCAACAATGAATGTCCTCAGTTTCACTCCCATGCCCCTGCCTACCTCCTTTACAGATATATATATATATATTTTTTTTTGGTTTGTTTTTGTTTGGGGCCACATGTGGTGATTTTCAGGGCTTACTCCTGGTTCTGTGCCAGGGATCACTCCTGCCAGACTTGAGGAATGATATGGGTACGTACCAAGGATGGAACCTGGGTCAGCCATGAACAAGAAAAATGCTCTACTGCTCTCCTATCGCTTTGACCCAACAGATACCTTTTTAAAAATTGGTTGTTGAAATTTGGATCTTACAGGTTCAGTTTTATTGGTTGTGTAGTTCAGACATGTAAATATACCACACCTCTACTCCATCAATGTGTCTGAGTCCGCTACATCTGTCAACTTTTTCTTCCTTCTTTTCCTTGGTTTCTCTCCTTCCCTGTCCTTAGTTCTATGGTGTAGGTAGCAGTTTTTTTTTTATATCCTTCTCTTTGATATCTTGCATTTCCTCTTCCATTATTTTTTCACCACAGAAAAGTGAAATCATCCAGTGTTTTCCCTTTTTCTTCGACATATTTACCCATAAACATGATATCTATAGTTCCATCCAAGTTGTAGGGAGTTACAGGATTTCATCTTCTTTGCAGTTGCATAGTGTTTCATTGTGATTGTATACCGCACCTTCATTATCATAAGGCTAAGTTTCGAAACTGAGGTTTGGAGCTGTCAGGCTTCAGACAAAGCCCCCTTGACAGTGAGAGGCAGAGTGATGTGTGTTTGAAAATCTATGTGTCCCTTGGACCACACTGGTTTGCCCTGTGCTACCCTTCACTCTCTTCTGCAGGTTGCAAAACTGTCCACTATGATCTGGTCTTCCTCTTGGACACCTCTTCTAGCGTGGGAAAGGAGGACTTTGAGAAGGTCCGGCAGTGGGTGGCCAACCTGGTGGACACCTTCGAGGTTGGCCCAGACCGCACCCGCGTGGGGGTCGTCCGTTATAGTGACCGGCCTACCCCAGCCTTCGAGCTGGGTCACTTCAGCTCTCAGGAGGAGGTCAAGACGGCCGCGCGGCAACTGGCCTACCACGGAGGCAACACCAACACGGGCGACGCGCTGCGGTACATCACCCGCCACAGCTTCTCCCCGCAGGCAGGCGGCCGTCCGGGCGACCGAGCCTACAAGCAGGTGGCCATCCTCCTGACCGACGGCCGCAGCCAGGACCTGGTGCTGGACGCTGCAGCCGCGGCGCACCGCGCTGGCATCCGCATCTTTGCAGTGGGCGTAGGGGAGGCGCTCAAGGAAGAGCTGGAGGAGATCGCGTCCGAGCCCAAGTCTGCACACGTCTTCCACGTGTCTGACTTCAACGCCATCGACAAGATCCGTGGCAAGCTGCGGCGCCGCCTGTGCGAAAGTGAGTGTGTATGGGGCCAGGTGTGTGCGCCTGGTGTCTGTGGGCGGGGCCTAGGTGGGCGTGGGCGGGGCCAGGTGCATTTGGGCTTTGCTAGGTGGGCGTGGCCTGGGTGGGCGTGGGCGGGGCCAAGGCGGGAATCGAGCTCCCTGGGAACCCGGAAGAGGACAGAGAAACCCAGGACTCAGAGTAGAGACTCTGATCAGTGAGATGACCCAGCTATGCCAAAAGGGGTCCTGAACTACACTACACTATTAACAGGTGGCAGAGGTGGCCAAAGTCACTATTTTTGACTCTGAATGCTGTGGCACCTTGTTCCCAGAGTGGCCCTTCCCCACAGGGTCCTCCCTCGCCCTTTCCCAAGCTAACAGGCAGATGGAGAGGACACGCTGGAAAGTGGGGTTCTGAAGCGCACTCACCCACCTCTGAAATCTTTGTGGGCTAGTTAAGTGGCTTGGAGTCACATCTTCATTTAAGCCTTAAACTGTCATAACCTGTGGGTGGTGACCCTCTACGGAGTCAGATAAGGCAGGGGTGGCAGGAAAATTTTAGAAATTTGTTTTAAAATACATTTGTTTATGATTTATCAGTAAATGTTTGACTTGTAAACCTTTGGGCCTAGGATTATGTAAACATTTCTTGAGTGTAAAGAGATTGTGGATGAAGAAAGTTCCAGAAGCCCTCATTAAACCAGCACCTGCAATGAGGGGTCACCTGAGTCAATGGGCATGGTCTGGAACTGTCTCTGCACTGAGAGTCATTTAGAGGTGGTTGGTCCAGGTGTACCTTATCCCACAGGCCAAGTTCTGATGGGCTCTAAAATAACCCCAGGCCTCTAACTTATTTGTCTGGAAAGTTGTTTGTGGGTGGAGGTGGAAGAAGGAAGAAAAGTAGGGGGCAGGGACATTTGACAATGATGTTCCTAGGCTGTGACCAGGAAGACTGACCTCTAGGACCCAGAGGGGTCATTCTGAGGGTAGCCTGCTCCTTGGAACAGCAAGGGCACTGCAGGTTTCTCATGCACCTGCCCGTCTCCATCTTCTGCCTCTGCCAGCTGCACTGGGTGACCTTTGCTCATTTGAGGTCACCTTGGTTGATGGGTAACCATCCTCTTTGCACACTTTGCTTGGTTCAGAGCAGCCTTGAAACAGGAACAGGGAAGGTGGAATTGGCAGTGAGAGATGTCATTGGGGCTGAACTCCCAATGCCTGTGACTTGTAGCCTGGTGAGAAATTGTGTCTGAGATCAGATGTCTTCCTTTCTCTTCCACACTGTGAGTGTATTGTCTGTTGGTTCATTTCATTTACATGCATTTAGTTACAGATCCTTACTGGAGATCTAGTTTTTGTGTGGCCTTGGCCTGTAAATAAAGATAAGACACAATCTTGAGTTCAGAGTGTTCATAGTTGGCATTAAAAAAAAAAAGAGAGAAAGAAACCTTCCTTGAAGGTGTGAAAATGTGATACTGTGTGTTGACTTTAATAAAGGTACAAAGAGACTCACAAGCAGAGTTGTGCTTTGATCCTGGTCATGATCCTGAGAATAAAGAAGAGCTACCTGAAGGAAGTGGTTCAAAAAGACCAGAGTGAGCAGCAGGATATTTAAAGGGTTTCTGAGAGGCGCAATACATTCAACCAGTTGCAATGGGCCCTGTGTCCAGATTTAATGGGCAGGTGGGTGGCTTTATCCTACTGATCCTACTGTCATGTTTCAGTGACACTTTGTATCCTAAGATGAGGTTTTGAAAGGTTTGTACAAACATGACATGGTAAGGCCCATGTGAGAATTAAATGTCGGCTTCACAGTAAACAAAAGGGAGATGTCTCACCAATTGCTGAAAAGAGAGAGCTGCCATACAAGAAGGCTCTCAGTGACTAGAGCCAGGAGGACAGGAGGTTCTGCCCCAGGAGGCTTAGATCCACCCTGGCCTGGGTAGGCCACCTGAATGTTTCTAGACCAATCCTGGAAACAGGCGCGACCTATTTGTGGAGGAGTTAGATACCACACCCACTCCCTTATGGAAAAGATTTGATCCATACAGGAAAACCAGGGGATTGGAAGGAAGGGAGTGGAAGGCAAAAGCAAGGAAACCCTGAACTCTACAGTCATCCAAGTGTCAGAAAGAAGTCACAAGTTCTCTATATCCATGCTTCTCTAAATGCCTCAACTATGTAAGTGGATGCTTAATACTTGAAAGGAATCTGCTTTTGTAAATACAGCTGTCTGCAGGCAAGAGCCTGCTCTATTCCTGTTGCAAACAAATCCCGATCCCCACATAAATGCTTCCTTAGAAACAAAGGAAAACAAAATTGCTAGCAGAAACATGGTGCGATAGGTAGTAAGATTAAATCAAGGGATGACACAAAATCCAAAGAACCAGGAATCCCTGGTTACATAGAAAATGCCCGTGAGTGACCTCAGCACAAAGAGGCACTATCCTGAGTAGAGTCTTTATGATGATAGACTGGGGAAATAAAGACTAACTCTGAGCCAGTTTGGAACAGCAGTAACTCAACTAGATCTGGCCCACTCATTCATTCATTAACAGCCATACACTGTAGCAGTCATTAAATTCAATATAATCCCTTCACTCCTTTAGCTTCAAAAACCCAGCTTTCTTTGTGAGAATACCTGATTCAGTCAAATCTTTTAGTCATTGATTCAGCAACTACACATGGAATGATTTCTCTGAATGTTTGGTACCCAAGATGCAGTGATGTGTTCAGGAGACCCTGCAGTGTTGGGAATTAAACCCGTTGATCGCCTGATGTATAGGAGGAACAGTCATGAAGCATCACTTGCCCATGCACAAATTGTGACCTTCAATACACATTCTATGGGCCTGGGTGAAGATGGACAGGACTGTGCTGCCCAGCATGATTGGTCATTAAGAAAATGTGAGGGCTGGCTGGCCTAAACTGAGAAGTACAAGTACCTTTGGATTTTGTAGAGTATAGACAAAATGAGTAAATCATCTTATACATTTGTTGAGTGTTTAAATTATAGTCTAGGTTAAATTCAATGTACTAATACAATTAATATTATTTTTTTACTATTTTCACTGAGACTACAACAAATTTAACATTATATGTGAAGCTGGTTTGTGGGGTCCGCTTCTTCTTCCTCCATTTTCCTTACTCTCTCCCATATACTTGTAATACTGGCCAGTCAATGATGCTAGCATTAACTAAGCATGTTCCTTTTGCTTTAGAAAACTTCCTGGCCATTCAGCCTGTCTACATAGGGAGGAGGGGAGGCTGTGAGCAATAGCAGGCTCCCCTTTCACAGGATAAGTTGAGTTTTAGGTCCAGGCATGGGACCTAGAGTTAGGTACAGAAATCTTGTATTCTCACCTCCAGTCTATTTTTTTTTTCTTTTTGGTTCACATCTGGTGTTGCACAGGGGTTACTCCTGGCTCTGCACTCAGGAGTTACTCCTAGCAGTGCTCAGGGGACCATATGGGATGCTGGGAATCAAACCTGGTTCGGCCGCATGCAAGGCAATGCCCTACCCGCTGTGCTATCTATCCAGCCCTCTCACCCCCAGTCTTTTTTTTTTTTTTAATTTTTATTAGTGAAACACCATGAGGTACAGTTGTAGACTTACAAATCTTTGTGCTTGGGTTTCAGTTATACAATGATCAAGTACCCATCCTTCCACCAGTGCCCATTTTCCACCACCATGGGTCCCAGTATCCCTCCCACCCCCCAATCCCCCCATCCCACTCTGCCTCTGTGGCAGGGCAGTCACTTTTGTTCTCTCTCTCCTTTTGTCACCCCCAGTCTTAAGGCAGCACAAATTGGGGTCTAGGAACCATGACTATTTTGTTCTGGAAGTGAAGTGAAACAGGAAGTTCCATGTGATACACAGTGGGAATAGGTTCTGGGTTTAGGTTGAATTTGTGTAACCATTGCAGAATTCATTCTTATGTCCAGGTGACACCCTTTTACCTGCAACATTCTTTTGGTTTTCAAGATCCCGCAGACTGCTAAAAGCTTTGTTCACATTTTAATTGCATTTTGTTAGTACTAGTCTGAGCTACTAGGACACCTTGGTACAGTTACTAATTTTTGTTTTTCTTTTCTACCACACTTATGATATGCCCTATGCTTACATGTTTTGCCAGCGTCAATGTGTGCTATGCCCTATGTTGGAGTTGTCACTCTAATGACACCCGATTTATTTGTGAAGACTGGAGTGCTGTTACTCACCAATATAAATTGGGAATGCAGCATAAGTGGAAGATAAGGCTCTTTTGCCTTTATTTCAGATTCAGAGTTCTCTGCAACTTAGAATATCTAAGAAGCATCTCTATTCTACTTTTGATCCTAGTGGGCGGTAGTTTTATTTACTTTATTTTTCCTAATGATGCTGAAAACATGCCTTCTCCAGCATACCAGTATATTTTAACACCCAACCCCTTTTGTCTCTTAATCCCAGTGTATTCCTTGGAATAATCTCAGTTCTCTTTGTCAGTGTTTACTGATTGGTGGAGTATTATTTTGTTTCTTTTTGCATATTTACCAATATTATATCCTTGTATTGCACACAGAAGTGAATGATTCAATTGTCTTTTTTTCTTTTGATTGACTTTGTTTTGCAGACTTTAAGCTGGTTCCATTATGCTTTTAATAGCAATATATTATATTTTTATAATTGAGTATAATTTCATTGTGTATTTATGCTCATTTCCTTTATCTGTCATCTATGTATGAGTACTTCCATTGCTTACAAAATACTTTAAAACCTATCATGACATTGAAGTCTCATCCTAATTCTCTAAGTGAGCTTTCTGCTTCTTCCTATTTATTTATTTTTATTAGTGAAACACCATGAAGTACAGTTGTAGACTTATAAACTTTCATGCTTGGGTTTCAGTTGTACAATGATCGAGTATCCATCCCTCCACCAGTGCCCATTCTCCACCACCAATGATCCCAGTATCCCACCCACTCCTCCACCCCATCCCCCTCACCCCACCCCGCCTCTGTGGCAGGGCATTC